TCTGGAAAGTTTCGAAATGTGGTGTTGGAGAAGAATGGAGAAGATCAGTTGGACCGATTATGTGAGAAATGAAGAAGTGTTAATTAGAGTCAGTGAGCAGAGGAATATCCTACATGAAATAAGAAAACGGAAGGCTAATTGGATTGGTCATGTTTTACGCAGAAACTGCCTTCTAAAAGAAGCTATCGAAGGAAAGATAGATGGGCGGATAGAAGTGACAAGAAGACGAGGAAGAAGACGTAAGAAGATGCTGGATGACCTTGGGGACAGAAGAGGATACTGTCATTTCAAGGAGAAAGCTCTAGATCGCATTAAGTGGAGGAATTGTTTTGAAAGAGACTGTGGACCTGTCGTCTTGACAGATTACTGATGATGATGAGGACTCCTTGGACGGGGGATCAGCCAGTCGCAAGGCCGCTACTTACACACAGGACAACACAAACACAGAATAAAGGCACACACCGACATCCATGCCTTTCAGTGGGATTCGAAACCACGATCTCAGCGTTCGAGGGAGTGAAGACGGTTCATACCTTGGACCGAGCGGCCACTGTGACCGGCGTAAATTCCTTTTTTCTGGGTTATTTTATGAGGTGCCTAGAAGCTAGATAATGTAGCGCCGAATGTTGTGATGACTGCCCGCTGGGACGCTGGGGTCGTGAATTCGAATCCAACCTGAGACATGGATGTCTGTGTTGTGTTTGTGTTGTCCTGTGTAGTTAGCGGCTTTGAAACGGGATGATTCCCCGCCCGAAGAGTCCTACCGAGTGTATACATATCATTAAGAAAATGTAACACAAAAGGGCCGCCTCTGTGGTCTAGTGGTGAGAGTTCCTGACTACAGATCTAGAGGTCCCGGGTTCAATTCCCGGCGCTATAAGATTTTCTGAGAAGTAATGGGTCTGGAACGGGGTCCTCTCAGCTTCGTGAGGATAATTGAGGAGCTGTTTCGAGGAAATAGCGGCTCTGGTCTAGAAAATAGAAATTAACGGCCGTAGGGATTCGTTGCACTGACCACGAGACATCCTCTATCCGCAAAAGTTGTCACTAACTTCGCCGACAAGCGGCGGTCGCTCGGTTGGTATAATTCACTTGCGGACTGAAACTCCGGAGTTTGTTTGTTTGTAACACAAAAGCCAAAGTTCATTATGGACTGAAGCGAACACTGAGTAGATGTTAGGATGACTTATGAGTAATGAATCTGAATGGATTTGAAGTGATCGTGACGTAACTGAAGTTAATACCCGGGGTTTGTATCTAAGGCTGTGGAAAATCGCGCAAAAAATGTTAAGTCAGAATAGCCGGTATCCTAGCAGAGATTCGAAAAAAGTACTTCCAGATTATGTGTCTAAGACATTACCCCTACACCACCGAACACTTAATCTTTATAACAATATGAGTGTGCTCCTGATTGTGCTCTTACTCTGGATCAGGGATACAAAAACGCACTCTGTTGTCATAATTCTGAGGCATAGCGCACTTCATAATGTGAAACATAAGAATGTACAACGCTCATAAAGCCACAATATATACTGAAGAGAATATCATTAACCCTTTCGATGTTCTTGCGCCCCTCCTGGGCCCGAGGCACGTTTCAGCATCAGTCTGAACATTTGCTGTTCAATTAACAGGGCACAATACAGCTCACGCTATGATCTATTCACCATTCAAACCCTCAATATAACAAAGCACAGATATCGCTACATTGTCTGACATCCGGTGGCAGTTAGAGCTCAGTTAGAGCAAACTTAACAATGAGGGCTTTACAATTAAAATAAACGGCCGTGATATTAACATTTTATAAAGGTAAACAAAACGTAAAATTGTTCCTCTGCTTAACTAATTAAGCGTTATGCCCTGAAGGCGTATGGGGGAGTGGATGTATAGCTCCATCATTCTTACCTCCATAGTACATAGAGCCAAGCGGTCAGTTTCACGCTTCGGCCGCTTTACTCCCGGAGAACGAACCCCTGCCACCCATTGGAGAGGAGGCTGAGTGGGACACAGAGCCGGTCTCGGTGCTGTGGAGTAATGAAAATATTTATTGCCTCTGCCCGGAATCGAACCTTGGCCGTACAGCTTGTGGCTATACTGGCCAACCTATTCCGACTCCTACTTTATCTTATGGTTTAACTGCAAACGCATTTCTCCTTACAGAGTCTAATCAGACAAGAAACTGAAGATTCAAAACTTCAACAAACCTTCGACGGCTCACAACTAGGCAGAATGCTGGGATAGTATCATTCACTTCTTCCTTCCAGAACTAGTTCCCTGAGGCTCATTTTAGTATTACACTCCAATTTCCTTCTTGGTAATGCTTTATTTAAGATACTGTAACGATTTATGGTGCGCAACAATAGACGGGGTATGGATTTATTGACCACTTACATGTCGTAACGACAAACAACTGTAACACTATCGCTATTTCCACACTTTACAGTTCACTGTTACACACATTAGTGTCCTCAGTCTGTTATAGTTGCCACTAGCCGTTACCTGGCAACGGATATTAACACAGGAAATACGCAAGTCTCACTAAATTACACTCTCTAAATATCACTGTACTACGGCACAAGTAAAATCTTCTCTTCACAGCCTGACTGCCAACTGAACTCATAGCGACATGTTCTCAGCCTCCCTTGCAGGGCTCAACTCTCGACTAACTGCTCACCTGGACTCCAGAGCTCGACTGCCGAGTCTCAAGTCAAAGTCATGTTGGGACAGACGGTCAGTCAGTCAGTCAGTCAGCAAGTCTTGGTGTCGATATTTATTACTCTTTGGCAGTTACAGTCTTGTTTTTGTGGGGCGTCCTCTCTGACGAGAGGGCGGGTCTGTCTTTTGTACGTGCTGTTGGCCCTTGCCAGCGCAGTCTTTCTCGGGTCCGAGTCCCTTGGGACTGGCGACCATATTTTACTGTCTCAGATTTGAGACTTCCCTTTTCGTCGCCTCCTACGACTCGCAGGGTCACGGTGGAGGTATTCGACCCCGCCTCCACACGGGTTGCTGCCGATTCACAACTGAACTCTTCTATATAACCACTCTGCACGGACCCAACAGGAAACACCATTTCCAACAATTCCTAAATTGTTTCTTGCGCATCCGTTGCCACGGAAATATGTTTCCAAAGAATCCTCAATAGCTCAGTAGGTACAGCAACGGGTTACGGGCTGGACGGCCGAAGGAACGGAGTTAGATTCCGGGCAGGGACAAGTGATTTCTTTCTTCTCGGTTTCTAGACAGACCCTGGGACACGTCAACTGTTGTATCCAGTCATACAGGAGTGTTCTTCATCTGGTAAAGCTACCAGAGCGTGAAGCTGGCGAATCACAATCTAATAGCGAAGTTAAGAATGTAGGGAGCTATACGTCTGCTCCTCTGCACGTCTTCATGGAGTGGTGCTTAATTAATTAAGCAGAGAAATAATGTTTATCTTTTGCTTAATTTGAGGTTCTCGCGGACGTCAATAAGGTTGCTGAAGAGTATGGTCCTCTGGGTTTGTAACACCGTCTAGCTGGAAGAAATTTCGAAGATGGAGGCGATATGTTCCTCCGAAACATCAGGCGAGAAGACCGTACTCGATTTCGCCTTTTTCTGCCCGCTTTTTCAACTGACTGTCCTAATCTTGGCCACAATGTTCCATAATTCACGGTACTGTACTTGAATCCACTTATCTCGAAGACATGCGTACTTCGTGTTATCAGCGTGAACACGTGTTTCTGTGTCACCGTTATCTTAACTGCCCGGCAGTCAGTATCCAGTTTCATGAGCACGCAGAATGTTGCTTTGGGGGTCAGTGTGTGTGATTCTCATCACCTCAATCATCATATTCTGCAGACAGAAGGACCCGCCCCCTATTAATGGGGTTTATAAACAACCCGGAAAATGGTACCCTCTGAAATACGTGGCATTCCTCATCATTCTGCAGCTGAGACGGGTAAGCCATTCTACTGAGTATATTACGTAGTTCGTATCTGCACTGTAACAGGCAGGGAGCGAGGATATCAACTAGGGTATGGGCTAGAAAAGCAAATAAACTCCGTGGCCTGTAGTCCTCAAGCGAACTATACCGACTGAGCGACCGCCGCTGGTCGACTAAGTTAGTGCCAACTTTAGCGGATAGAGGGTGTCGCGTGGTTAGCGCAACGGATCCCCACTGCCGAGGGTAGGGGCTAGACGTTCTAGAATCCCAAATTCGGTTCCCGGTAGAAGCTCGAGCTTTTTATTTTTGCCGTTCAGACTGGATGTGGGACCCGCCCAACCCCCTCTCCAGTGGGCACCGGGGCTGTTTCCCCGGCGAAGAGGTGTGGTGTGAAGCTAACCACTCCCCTCCGTCTAGTGTTCAGGTCAGAAATATGTGGAGCTATACCTCCCATACTATATGTCTTCATGGCGTGGTGTTTAATTAAACACAGGGACAAATTTTCTTTTGTCATAGAAAGTAAATTTAAGTCTGAGCTCCGGCAGGGAGGGTGCCAAGCCGAGGAACTGCCCCCCCCCCAAAAGTTTTAGAAAATATCTAAGTATATATGAAATATTAATGCCACAAATTATAGTTTTTAAAAATGATTCTTTCCTATCCTATTCAGTAAAAATAGTTGTAAACTGCTTAATACGTAGGTTTGGATGCCGCCCTTAAGATAGTAGCTGCCCCTCTTGGAAAGAAAATCTGCCGGCGCCTATGAGGGTGACGTAGCGTTGTCCCTGTGTTTGATTAATTTCTTTTGTGGGTTACCATGCGACGCCCTCGGTATCTCTGCTGTATGCAGTAGGGAGGTAGGTTAACCGATATATTGGCAAGTACTGGGAAGGAAACGGCCGTCACCTAATTGAGATATTATCCGTAAATTTGGCTGGTGTGGGGGGGGGCTGAAGAAACCCATAAAATTCTTGGTCAGGATAGGCTTTGTACTGACTGAGATTCGAAACAGCATCTCTCGAACACATGTCTAGAGCGTTGCCGCTTGAATCAACTGTTCAGTTCTAATCGTAGCAACTGCCTTGGCATTTGCCTGGAGGGACTGAGTGAAACCACGAAAATCCTTAGTCAAGATTCCCAGTGTCCCGGTTTAGCTCCGTACTTAACCCCAGTACTATGTTGAGGAGTCGAATGGGGGAGATGAGGAATGCATATAGGATATTTATGGGGGAGGCCAGAAGGAAAGAGACCACTGGAAAGACCAAGATGTAGGAGGGTGAACAATATTAAAATGCATCTTAGAGAGATAGGATGGGATGGTATGGATTGGATTGATGTGGCTCAGGATAGGGACCATTGGAGGGCCCCTGTGAACACGGCAATGAACCTTCGGGTTCCATAAAATGTTGGGAAATTCTTGAGTAGCTGCAGAATTTGCGGCTCCTCAAGAAGGGTTCAGCTCCATGAGTAAGTAAGGAAGTAAGTACTACGTAGAGGTCAGTGCTCAACTTCACCCCCGTGGGGAAGGACCCCCTGTTCTAGTTGGATAGACTGCAAAGCTGGCCTGAATACTGTCTGTTTTGCAGTTTATGAACTGCGAAAAATGCGGACGAAAACGGTCGTGGTCAAATGAGTTTATCATTCCGGTGTGTACCCAGTAAACTGACTGGCATTGAACTAGATGACAAGGGTTCGATTCCCGTAAGAGGCAAGTGTTTCTTTCTTCATCGGGCCCAAACTGGCTGTGGAGGACACCCTCCCCTAGTCAGTGGATACCGTGTGTAAAGAGGCCAGGACGAAATTGACCACTCACCTCCATCTAGTATCGAAGTTAAGAATATGTGGAGCTATAGTCCTATTATCCCATACGTCTTTATGGCGTGATCTTTTGGCACATGGATCACTCAATCATATTAACTGTGTTATAATTACTGGATTTTTAAAAAGTTGTCCCAGCGAGTATTAAAGACAGGTGTTGAATTCGCATTTCAAACTTGTTATTGAGCAGAATTAGAAATAATTCATACAACGCATTACGTATCTTAGATATTTACTCACTTCCTCCTTCTAAAATTGTCGTCTGCGGGCTACTGTAATCATAATGCAAAATAAATTTGTGGCTGGTAAGACACAATCTTATAAAAACCGCCATTTCGCTGACTTACATATAACATTCCAGCAGATGGCAGTAGCAGCTAATATATCTCTATCGAATAAGAATTCCTTCGAGATCTCGTTCTGAAGCACAGAATACTTGGCACGTAGGGTTAATACTTCGCCACGATTTAATCAATGCTTCGTAATAACGTGGTTAAATTTTTCAATATTTGACAATTCCTCCTAACTTAATGTACAATTATATCTAATCTGTAACTATGATGGAATTCAGAGAAGGCTTGCTACCAGTTAGTTCGGATTCTTTGTGTCTTCCCGTCTGCTGTAAAAAAAAAGTAAAGATTAAAATATATGGAATTATTTTCTCCAAAAGAAACAGTGAATAAAGGTTTCACTATGCAACACAGGAAACTGTGGCCACAAAAGCCAGCCTCTGTATTTTACTTAGAGTGCACATTCTTGGCCCTCCCAAATAAGAGTCAGAAATATTTAATATCCTAAATGTATTTTTTCTTTATGATAAGTCTCTGTGTTTTGATATTTTCCAGTGGCAGAACAGTTATGGTATGAAATCAGCCAAGAAACAAGCTGGTTATGGTGTGCAGTCACACGCCTCACCTGCCATGATGGATATTGCACAGCCTCTTTCTTCAGATGCTAAGGTTCACTTGTCATAATCTTCACTCAAATATTATTTGACATGCTTAACCGCTTGACATATTAACAACGGACTGTCATGTTCCAGCTCTCTGTGGTATATCTCATTAACTTTTCATGCATAAAGTTTGTCATCCCATATACGAGTAAATGTAAAGTCACACTCTTACTTCATACACAAATGATAACCCTGATTTATGTCCCAGTAACATGACAGCCCAGCTTGTTGCTTTGTGAGCACGAATGTAATACTTATTTTGAGCGTGTCTGAAGCACGCAAACGAGAAACAAAAATTTCAAGCAGATTTTAAGGGCGATGGTGTACAACATTTGGGATTACTGGGTTCAGAGCTTTTGGAGGTTGTTCATTGTTCAGTATTAACACAGTGTTGCTCCAGTGATTGAGGTTAGCACTTACTAAGAGATCTGACAGAGAAGGTGTCTCTCACCACCTCATCTGAGATCCAGTTGCCATCATGTTGTGATCTTTCGAATACTAGACGATAGAGTCCGGGGTCTGGTCAAGTGGAATTTGTGGTGGACAAAGTGGCGCTGGAGCACGTTTTCTCCAAGTACTTCGGTTTCCCCTGCCAATATTCATTACACCAATTGCTCCACAATCACCCTCACCTATCATCTGGGGCTGGTACAATAGGCCAGAAGTGGCCGCAGTACAAGGGACTTAGTCCCACCCCACTAGCATTAAAATGTCACTGTTTTAGTTGCATGTTTCATTGTCACTCCATTATGAGGCTGTCTTCCATCAGAAAAAATTATCAGAATTGCCATGTGTGTACCATACATAATTAAAATATCAGATTATGTATGTATGTTGGTCATAGGATTACAAGAACAGCCCTATTGTTACATAATTTAAGAGGACAAATCAAAAACATTTTCCTTCTTATCATTTTTTATATTAAATTAATGCTGGTAAAATTAATTCAAAATTACAAAACATCAATTTCCTTCTGACATGCACTCACATGCATTTTCTTTATTTTTTCAATATAAACTATTTTATTGTGTTTCAAAGGAGATCCAAAGGTTCTTAATGCTTTTACGATTTTATTCTTGTCCTAATCTTCATCGCCAGTACTTATATCCAAATAGCTTTAATCCTATTATTTATGAGACTTGCCATAAGGAGTGCACATGCAAGCACAGCCCAGTCAGTACAGTCACTAGGCTATGGGCTGGAAGATCAGGAAATTGGAGTCCAATTCCCAGCAGAGGTAAGGGACATTTTTCTTCTGCACAATATCCAAACTGACTTTGAGGTCCACTAAGCCTTGCATCCATTGGGGAATGGAGCCTATTTCACCAGGGATTAAATCAGTAAATCAGCTGGAGCAAGAGCCTGACCACTCACATGCACCTATTGCTGATGTTATTGAGTCCGCTCCCTATGTGATTTCATGGTGTGTACAGGGACAGCTTTAAATTTACCATCATACATGTAACTGACATCACATTGAATCATCTTAAATTGAAACATATTAATCTAAACACTTCCTTCCTTTCAGGATTGGTAATTACAAATTTTCTTCCTAAGAACTGGAAATCTCTCTATGATACGCAGGATGTGAATAGTCTCCATCTGTTACTTGTACTAAGGGCTTGATTTCATTACAGGCATTTGATGCTGTGTTCTTTATTGCTGCTAACAAAGATGGCTACTACTTCGCAGCGGGGACAGAGCGGAGGCATCATGGCGTCATTAATGGTCTTTGCTATATTGCTGTATGTCTTATGACTGGGCACAAAGAATTTAACAATTTGAAGCCTGAAATTCATCTAAATAATATTTAAGGATTCAGTTCCTGCCTCACAGGGGCACGACTGTTACTGTGATAATACTTTGGAATGTTAACATGCGTCATAAGAGTGACACATTGTGTTTAATACCTATTTTGAAATTTATCAATTGCAGATGCATTATGATGTTTTGATTTGAGCCAAGAAAACTATGTCAACTTCATAGTCGCAGTGGCAATTCAAAGTGGTATTATTTAATGTGATATCCCATTACATAGCTCAGTTGCTTTTGTATGGCCTCTCACACGGAGAGTCTGGATGGAGCCCAGACAACTTCATGTGAGATTCATAGTGAATGAAGTGTCACCAGAGCAGGTTTATCTCTGAGATTCTTTAGTTTCCCCCTGCTAATCATTTCATCATCACTCAATACCCATCTATCACCGCCCCCTGACCGCGCAGCTCATTGTCACATCCTAGGTCTTTAAGTTAGAGGGTTCATCTCTGATCCATCACTTGCCTGGTTACAGAATCATTGATTTAAGTATACACATTGAATTTGGTCGAAGAAAAATTTCAGTTTTGAACTGCTTGAAATGAATGTGTTCTGTAAAGGTACCAGGCAAAGGTTTGCTGTGCAGCTCCAAACTGCCTGATACGGTTCTCTTCGGAGCAAAAGATGAAGAGTTTGGTGCAGAGGGCCTGGCCTTGAAACTTGAGAGACCAATGAGGAAGTGGAAACTAACTTATAAAGGAAAAATGTGGTGAGTTATCCTTGAATATAATTATATCTGGGACACATTTAACCCTCTACAGGACACCAGTACCTATGTATACCAACTGCTTTGGCATTAAAAGATATGCCACTTTGTCCAGACAGTGTATCTGTAGTACCTGTTTGGTTCTATGAGCAAACAGTTGCTGTTTCTTTAAAATTTATTAACTGACTGATTTTTGTAATGGGAGTGTGGTGAGTGCTTTTATGGGCTATGACACAGGGCAGTCATATATGTAGTTACCAACGTTTCAAAGGAACTTTCTGAACCTTTCTTCAGGGTTTTCAACACCTACATGCTTACATGCTGTCACAACCCAGAAGAGCAAAATTTAAAGAGGGAATCATTTTACAACACTGTCAGCAGCTACATTATATAGCACCAAATGTTAAGATGACAGATAAATCCTGCATTGACCTACCACAACCCGCAGATGACGAAGATTAAAGCCATCACCATTCCTCTACAGGGCCTGTCAGAGTACCATCAGTGGATGCCTTCTCTACTCAAGACACCTACTTAGAACAAATTTACTTAATACTCTATATTATCGAGCGTAGATTGTAAATATGCTTTTAATTAAATAAAAAGAAAACTGGAAAAGATTTGAAGGGAAGTGATGATTGCCTAGATGAGATCACTATCCTAGAATTTTCTGGAGGGACTGAGAAAAAACATGCAAAATGTCAGTGAGAATAGCCAGTGCCTTAGACAAGAATTGAACTGAGTGCCTCCCCACTGTCAGTCTGGATTGTATCACTACACCAACCTACTCAGTGAAGGAAAAATTTCTTGACTAGAGAAGCGACTATTAGCTTCTAAAGAATGATCATGATCCACAAATTTGCATAATTAATAAACATTCCACATTATCCTTTCTGCTGGAATTCTCTGAATATGCACTACATCAGCAAACTCTTGTCTCATTCATAACTGTTGTGTGTGTGTGTGTGTGTGCTGATTTTATTCCTGCGGGTTGCAGTCTGACCCTTCACAAGTGTTTGATGTGAATTTGGAAGGAGACTGGAGCTCAGACCTGCCACATTTCAACTACGACACTGACATGAATCCCACAACTGTTGCAAGGGTCATTGCTACAGAAACATGGACAAGGGAGTATTTCAAATCCTTAGAGAAGTAAGTGTAACGCTTTATAATGGAAAGTGTATAAATTACTGTCTGCTTTGAAGCCAAAGATGCAGTAAAATACATGCTATAATTTTATACAAAATTAATGTTATGTGTACATCTGTAAATCTTTCAGAAAGCAAATTTAATTCAATGCAATCTACTATAATGAGAAGATTTTTCTGTTAATATTTCCTTTATTTCTTAGGAGACATCAGAAATGGAGTTTAGAAACAGCAGGTTATGTACTAGTTTCTCGGTGCTGAGTTCAATCCCCGTTTACTTTATGAGATGGAAAAAGTGGCACTGGAGCAAATTTTCTTTTCCTGAATTCTTTCAGATTTTCCCTGCTAATCATTATTCTACCATTGCTTCACGCCCATCTATCACTGTCCCCTGAAAAATGCAATAGCCCTGATCAGGCAGCACATTATCATATCCTCATTCTTTAAGTTTGGGGTTTCACCTTTGACCTGGCACTTGGCTGGTTATCAAGTGAAGGAGTTAATTTTAAATATGCTTCTGTATGCTGCCAAACCTACTTGCATACTGGTTACAAGGTGAGGAACTTATGTTTCATACATACATTCTGATTAGTTTAGAAACAGTGTGGAGTGTATTTGAATCAGTAGAACAGGAAGTGCCAGCAGAATGGAGAAAATCTGTAAGGAGCAGCTTTAATATTTGTCCTCCTCACGAAATATTATTATGATTACCATGTTAAGGAGAATTAGATGGACAGGACATGTAGTATGAATAGAAGAGATGAGAAAAGAATACACAATGTTAGTTACAGAACCTGATGGGAGAAGGAAAAATTTGGGGGCCAAATCATAAATGGGAGGATAATATTAGATTTGAAGAAACAGGATGTGAGACTATGAACTGGATTCAGTTGGCTCAGGATAGGGGAAAGTAGTGGGATCTTGGGAATTTTCTGAGTGTGACTGATTATATTCTTCCTTTACAGAGCTCACCAAACTCATTTTGAACAAATGGGATACTTGAGTGCAACAATTGAAATTGATGGTGAAAATCATATTGTAAAGATGCCATCATTTCGTGACCATAGCTATGGTAAGAGAATTATTAATTTTTTAAGTATTATCTTAAATGTTATGTCCAGCAAACTCAGGTAAGTAGTTTATTTATTTATTTGTTTGTTAAAAGAACCGAGATACATCTGCAACATTACAATTATCATCTTCAGTGGTCAAATGTTCACTCTCCAAATAATGTTAGTCAAATCACTATGCTCTGCGAATATGCAGGCAACTGAGGTGTGTCAACATTCCTCATTTGGCAAACATGATAGCTTGGATTATCATCTTCTGCCTCCTTTGTAATCAAACACTATCCACTGTGACATTTGGCCAGAGCCTCTCTGCTATGAATTACCATAGTCATGTGAGGAACAGCAACATGAAAAATACTGTAAAATTTGAGGTTTGCACAGTGGTGTTTATGAAGAGTACTATCTTCTGGGATATAGCGCCATGTAGTCCATAAGTAAGTACTTGTAAAAGTAGAGCTATCCCTGTAACAGGCCGTGAAGGCCCATAGGGTTGTGAGATGTTGTGGCTCCATTATCTAAACAATCGGCAAAAAGATGGCGGTAAGGTTATCAGCCTTACGTGCCGGCCGTGCTTTAATCCCCAGGAAAATTATTTAATTAATTCCTGGTACTCATTTCTGTTAGAGGCTGAGTCGACCCCAGGGCCATAGTGCGGCTGGAAGGAGTAGGTCAATTGCAAAAAATCCCATGACCTCATCAGGACTTGAACCCGCGACCTCCCAGCTTGTAGCATAGTGTCCCTGCCATGTAGGCCATTTATAATTAAACCAGTGTCTCAGGGCAACATATCACCTCCATGTTCAGGCTGTGCTTGCTGCCCACTTTCACGCTGGTTTCTTGCTTGGCATATTATGGAGACGATGTTCATCTGAAACATCGGTTGAATACATTGCATTATATCTCAGAAGATGGGACTCTTTATGAAAAATATTAATAATTATCACAATGTACAGGAGAGAGGAGGGACTGGGATCTAATGCATCGATATGCATTTCACATGATCTTCCTGGAGGATGGGACAAAAGCGACCGTTGGAGTGATCTGTCAGCCTTGTACTTGCTCCAGGTCAGTTCCTCCATTGATATTCTTCTCACTATATAACTTAGTTACGTCCTCATTTACATGGTTCTATCACTGCTTTACAGACTTTCACGTTTTCTACCTTAGCATCAGCATTATTCCTATTAAGCCTGAAGAAAGAGAGAATGTTTGATCAAGAGAAAGAGATTTTTCTTTTCAGGCTTTGATGGTTCTCAGGCAATGCCTGCTCATCCTTCTGGTAGAAGGTAAAGCTCTAGGAAGTGAAAAGGGTAAAGTGTTATGATGTGGACTTCGTTATGAGCAGGGGAGACAAGTTGAGCCAGGGCTGTGTATGATTGAAAATAATTTTGATATTAATGTTGAAAAGGCATCATTTGAGCGAAATTTGTATTTAATATTAGATAAAAACTCAGTTCCTACCTTACAGACAACATACATCTCCATAACAAAGACCAATATTATATGAAAACAACTATTGTTTATCATTAGAATAATACAAAATACATAAATACACTGTGTGGGAAAAATACATAGTAATTTACTGTTAAAACAGGTGGTAAATACAATAACCACTGTGGCTTGAGAGGTTAATCAGAAAATAATGTAAAGTCATTGTACACAGGCTAGAGGCTGGTTATGTGTATACTCCAGAGGGTGCACTGTATCCACTAGAGTGGTGTGACTTCAAGCTTCATGAAAATGGGGAAAATGGCAGACCTCCAGTGGACCACAGCTTTAGCTTCAAAGCAGGTATGAGAAAATTCGATTCCAAAATATTCACAGCTCAGGGCAGACTTATCAACAGGTGGGTGTTCTTTGAATGAGGTGCATATAGTTTCTGTAGATGTGGAAAGGATTTCAGTGAAATACAATATAATAATGTAATTTAATTTTGGTTTGCATTCCTCTAATATAACTCCTGCTTTTCATTATGTTTTAATTCACGTTTTATTAGTTTTGTAAAGAAAGGTCATATAATACAAAGAATTCGGCATCATCATCCTGTCAGTGCTATGCTCACCGAGACCTTTTACACAAAATATAACAGAGAATCCTTCCATCACTTCAGGGATCTTCTGAAACTTTCTCTTCCTTTTGATTGATATTTGTAGATAATTTCTGGAATCCTGTGAGAGCTGATCCTATTACTATATTCTGATTTCATTACACCCCACCATCCTATTTCTTTAGGACCCATTTTAATATTATCCACCATCTTTGCCTAGATCTTCCAAGCCCTTTCTTGAAATTCTCTTACCAAAACTTGACACTTTTTTTTTTCTCCCAGGCGTGCTACATGTCCTACCCATCTCATCCTCCTTGATTTAATGATCTTAATAACATTTGGTGGGGAAAACAAATGGTGAAGCTCTTCAATGTGCAATTATCTCCAGAATGTTCTAAAACATAATGGACAGAGGGCTGTTAATTTAAATGCATCGAGACGAATTCACATGGCACAACTGTGGATCAAGTACAGTTTGAATACTTCCAAAAATATATTTTGATTTTTGTTTTGTAAGAACTGAGACTTAATCTTTATACAAGAAAATTCTGTCTGTCTGTAGGTCCGACAGAGTACACTGTTCAGGTGTGTGTGGAGTATGAAGCCACTCATTATGTTGGATGGAAATGGGAAGCACGCATGGTGGAACGCTTCGTTCGATATGTTGTGAATGGCATCCCCGGACGTGGAGTGTCTGAATTTCATTATCACAACAAGGGAGGCAGGCCTTCATCTATTGCTAAAAATGATCCTTATTGGTTCAGGAAACTTAACTTCAAATAGTTTATTCAACTAAAGACTTAAAGAGGCTTTGTCTAATGTGCATGTTATGTCATTTCCTAGATATCTGGAATGAGATATGTGCTCTAGCACACTGTCACAATTTTAGACTGACTACAGATGGAGTTTGGATTGGTAATCAGATTTCTTTTAACATTTACAGAACATAAGTACAAATAACTACAACAGATTCACTGAGTTACACTCTCCAAGATCTCTGTAACCACAGCAAACATAAAAGTCTTCTCAGTCTTCCTTAGCCATTGCTCGGTAGCGGCTTCCAATAGCAGATGTTCCCCTTGTTCTGGGTTCCCAAACTGCCCGTCCTCAGCTACAGCAATTCTCAACTGGCTGACTCAGTTACCAACTGCTCTACACTACTCAACTCACTCTAACTAGATGTCCTGCTTAGACGAGTAACATTTTGGTATGGACCGCACAGTAAACACTGTCCCTTGTTGCTCGCATCTATATACCACAATATTATAACAAATATTTATTTTAATTCTAATCAGAATTATGCCTTTGGATGTCATAACTTTTGTTTTCTTGGGTGAAAGAGAGGAACACAGTTGACATTTTATAAAGCAGCAGCACTACCAACTTTGACTTATGGCAGTGAATTTTCAGAAATTAAGCAGGAAACAGAAACAGAATACAACCGATAAGAGATGCGACTGTTAAAAGCAGCTAAAGGCTGCACTATGTTGAATCATATTAGGAATGAACTGAAAATACAATTGGTACAGAATAAAATAGATGAAGACAGACAACACTGGGCAAACAGTCTGGATAAAATTACTGATGACAGAAACCCAAAATACATTCTACAATAGAAACCAAAACAACTCAAGAGACCAAGGGAGGCCTTGCAAAAATATGTGGAGTTGGACCAGGCTTGATTACCTATACCAGGAACTGAAGGAGATAACTTCAAAATAAAACTGACTTGACTGGTTATTTCCATCATATTTATAGTACAGTTGATGCTATTGATTTTAACATCATATATAAACTGTCAGTTCCTACAATATTACCTTTATACAGCATTCAGTATACAAAGTTTCATGACAAAACATGGGATCAATTTTAAACAAAAAGTTGAGTAAGCGTTCTTGAGTTTGTCAAATGCTGAGGGGATTTCAGGACCAAGCTACAATAAAAGTTAACCTCTGTCTTTTATTCCAGATGCTGACACTAATATTTCTGACAATAAATACGTAACTTTTATTGAATTTTGCAGCAACCATTATTCTATCAAGATATTATCTCAGATATAAACATAAAAGAAGAAACAGAACTAAGAATAAGTACTACTGTTAACAGAATAAACACAACTAGGAATTAACGTTTCTGTTAACAGTTTCAATTCTACAAGGAACAAATATTATTTAAAAGGATATGCTTCTTCAAATTTATTACCTATAATAACACCAAAAAGGAAATTGGGAGGTGCTCAGTTTCAATTACGTCTCTCTATGCCCTCCTGGAAAATTCTTGGATAGTACCTCAATTAGGCCATGACCACAACCTTCCAAATCCTTCTGAATTCATCATTCATCCTACCATTCAACAGTGTACTGTTTACATACTGATAGTACTATACAATACACCACACATTTACTTTATCTTCCTCCCTGCTACTGTGCCCCAAGTATCGGTCCTTGTTTCTGTTTTCTCACTTAGTCTGCCCTTAAAAATACCTTTTAATGGGCAAATTTCCTTACTATTTCTCCTGATCATTTTGCCCATAAAAATGACCCTTTAGAGGGCTAAATATTCTTTATATTTCCCTTAATCCTATTAGTTCCCTCTCTCCCCTGCATGTACCATTTCTTTTTTCCACACTCAACTTATTCTTACACTGTGAAGATGGTGCCAAGACACCTCCCAACACTGGTTAACATATAACAGACTACACATGCCAGACAACATTAAACTAAGATCTCATAAAGTCATTTTTTCTTTCACCTGTTTATTTTCCTGTTTTAATAACATACAGGAACGGTCACTATGCCATATATATGTATATGCTTAACCTGTCTCAGCACTAATACCTAGAGGACATTCAGATATTTCTTAAAACATGCAAAGTAAAACAACTTCAACTGGCAATGCAGACACAGACATTCAACTTAGCAGAAATCAACAGATTCAAGCCTGAAAACATTGAGCACTGAACAGATAAGGGATTCACATGCCTTTCATTCAAGATGACCAGAACTTGCTTTGCATCTTAATGAGATAACAAATATCTGTGTACAAGACGCAGATACACCTACTTGTAATGAATTTGAAAGTCTATACTGCCCAACAGATATTGTCTTGATCTTTCTGAAGACTATAAAGAAGTAAAAATCTCCTTTCTGTGGGGGGGGTTTGAGGAAAAAATTAAATATCCAGCACACCTGTATATACACAACCTTTGGTTTAGCAATTACTGAAAACAATGTGTTTTATGACTGTTCTTGGTATGATGTAGAATTATGTTAAACTCTGTGTAATCTTACATTATTACACTTAATTACACACATATATATATATATATATATATATACACACAGTCAACAGCAAAAGAAAAACACAAGTTCATATAGAGAACTGTAAGAATTACTAATGTAGTGAAATTTTTTTATGAACTTAATAAAAAGGTCTGTGTTTTGTGATTTGGTACCCAAAGCCACTCTGATGGCAGTACAAAATAAGCAATTCTCAACAGCCATCTGATGGCTATAATTAGTAGCAATCCAATTAAATAACATATAAGCTACTTGATTCATTATTTACTTACCCATTTTTATATTAACCCTTCCTGTGATATATCTTTTCAACTAATTTATAATAATAATAAATGTTTTGAATGGTGTGTTGATTTACGTCTGTAACATGAAAAGGGTTAACAAATGGGACATCTTTAAAGTTCAGGTCACAACTTCAATCTCATCTTGAATTTTTTCTTACCATATATGATACAGGTGAAAAGACAGTACAATATCAATATATACAAACACAATTAATACTCTGAACTAAACATTATTACTCACACACACATGGCAACTTTCATAATAACAAAAGACTAAGTTAGGAAGTTTTATTATTCATCTCTTAAGAATGATCTGCACCCATCACAAAACAATTCTGGGGGCTGTCTTTTATTCAAGTTATATCACTATGCAGAACAAAATCTTAATGTACAACACACAATGAATAACTCAAAATACTGCTTCACCTTGCATTCTATGCTCAATATATTACATACACATAAATTTAGGAAACTCTGACTCTTAATTACATTTGGTAACTAACATGCATTATTTTAAGAACTACAAAAGGGGAACAGCCATGCGAGCACAAGCAGTCATTCTGATGGAGATTCACATGTTACAATATGTTCATTAAAGAGGAATTATAACAGAACTCCGATTTAAATCTGTGGGGCCTAACACCAAGTACAGCTCACTGTAGCACAAACATTGTTGTGAAAAAGTCTTCAGTTTCAAATCAAATCTGATGATGTAAAAAGTATCTTGTGCAGGTGACAGTCTCAATAAAAGTACAGGTGCTATCAGGAACTACGCGTATTATAATAAGAATGCCAACAGCCCTGTACCAGCTGCTGACAAGTTCTGTGAGTAGCATTATGTTTGGAAATGAAGGCTTCAAGGGATTAACATTCCTCAATTCAAACAATTCCCTCATACAAGGCTTGGTTCCAACAATTCCTTAGTCAATAATTTTGGTTGTGGTTTTCCTAAATACAGTGAACAAATCAACTGTCCCGAAAGGAAATCTCAAAAGGGGGAATTACTGTGGATCACCAAACTGTCTCACACAGCATACGAGTCTTCTTCAGTGCAATGAGCGCCTTATCAAAGAATTTCCACTTAGTTCACTGTAAACAGAACTACAGTTGGGTCAGGAAAAGAATTAACACAGCTTCTGCCCTGCCTTCCCCACTGCCTGCAACTGTCACTATATTTCGGCCAGGTCTGTTACAAAATTCCACATTGACATATCATTTTATTTTATTAATACATTAATTATAATATTGACTATAAATTTATTATATTGTCACATGTTGGGTATGCAGCATGAAAAATTCACATAGCCTTCGGATTCAACGATTATTTATTGAACTCATTCATCCACATTTACTCAGAGTCAGGAATACAATTACTCTCACTTGCAGTGTCACAACTGCTGCCTCTACTTCAATGCTTCTACTGCGGGTGCGACACCTCAACTCTCCTTGGCCGTGGCTGGATCTCAACTGTCGGCAGATGCATTCAACCACCTTATATAGACCTTATGCAGACCGGATACCAGACACCATCTCACACAGTTCAGTTTTCTGTTGTCATGCAACAAACCCTCTGTTGTCCATCTCCGGGGAAATGCGTTGTTTTTTCGGCATTCTCTATGCCACGGCCCACTGTTATTGCGTTACCATGGAAGTACTTACTCCAAACACATTACAATATCTTACTGAAGTCTATCACAATAACAATTCCAAGAAGGAATAATACTGAAGTAAATGGTTTCATACTCCGGATGCAGGGGGGTACACCTGAGTCAGTGGTGAGGAGGCTTGCTGTGTTGGGACAGTGAGCATGTGTGAGTGTTCCTTTTGTATTTATAGAAGAGAGAGAAAGAAAGTGCCCATACTTATATATTGATGACCTGTAAAATACCTCTCCCACGCCTCCCCTATTCCTATGCCTTTTACAGTTTTCTGTAAACGGGTCGCACAGGCCAGCCTACTCATTACCAAGTGAACTTGTTCCTGCAAAATGAGTCGGATGACAATTTTAGTGGGCATGCCATCACTACTATGAAACAAAAAAAAGTCAGCATGTTGTAACAGTGTGTAATAACCCAATAAAGCACCAGCAGGTGCCAACATGCATCTCCCCCCCCCCCTGTATGTTCATTCTTTGTCTGATACAAGTGCAGGAACCACACGGCAGAGCAGTGAAGTAACGTCTCCCCCTTCCATGAAATCCAAATCAAGAATCTACAGTTAAATCTTAAATATTAGCATTGGTTATACTGTAAATTGTAAATTGTAAACATTCTTGCAGCAACTGAAACACCATGTGTGACGCCAGATCATGAAGTTTCCGTGTTGGTCCAATCAGAAACAATCTGCACTTCTTTTATAGACCAAGCTAAATAAATCATGATATATTATTCAGTGGATCTTAAGCATACAGAGTTACACAGACAAACTATGGAACTTCAGTGACATTAAACATTCAACTACAAAAACAATTCAACTAAATGAGCAAGACAATTCTACACGTTTTTGAAATATTTTGAACATAATTACTATCATAACATACTACACCTAACTCATTGCAACATCCCTTGTTACTAAAGTTAGGTTGAAATTCAGAATATTGAAATGCCATGGATTTTATGAAAGACAACAGGCAAATCTCCCACAAAATCTCCTGTTTTGACATGACTGTAATATAATGCGCTACAATGCCAAGTTAGCTAGAAGTGCAAAACGACGAAGTCGGAAAAACATACTAATCTCGGGATGCTCCGATGATGGTAAGTATATACAGGAAAATGTTGACAATGTCTAGATAGAGGTTGAGAGCAGCGAAAATGTATTCTTCTGGTGAGATGGAATACTTGTGCTTCCCACCCATCATGAGTTGTGTATCATATATCAGATACAGCGAGAATAGCAGTGCACCGCATGAAGCATAGATCAGGGTCATTGTCTTTCCAGGGATGAAGATTGCCACAATACCAAAGATAACCAGAATGATAAGGGCAACGAACAGAGCGCCGCCCATGACTGTGAAGTCCCACTTCGTCTGGAATGCAAACATGGTCAGACCGAAACAAACTGCGGCACACAGACCAACAGCCATCAGGACCTGCAACAGTATACAAGATTAACTTCTCACATGTTGCATCACACTCAACAGATTAACCAGTCTGTCACTTGCTCTATCTAAATGTACAAACTGGGATAAAAAAAGTAAAGGTATCCCTGTGTGGAGGTCCACAGGGTTGTGAGATGTTGAGGTTCCCACATTTTCTAGACAATTGGCTCATAGATGGCAGCAAGGTTGTCAGCCCCACGCGCCAGCCGCGCTTTACCCCCAAGAATATTCCTGGTACTCATTTCTGTTTATGGCTGAGTCGACCCCAGGACCATAGTGTGGCTGGAAGGATTAGGTCAATTGGAAAAATCCACCTCATCGGGATTCGATCCCACGACCTTCCGGCTTGTAGCATAATGCCTCAACCAATCTAAGCCACTGCGTGCCCCACAATCTCGGATAGTCAGTCAACATGATTGGCTACAGGTTGGACAATTGTGGGGTCACAGTTTGAGACCCAGTAGGATCAAGACCTCCATACCAGTTCTGGGACCCACCCAACCTCCTATCCAGTGGCTACCACGGGCTCCTTCCCTGGGGCATGAAGCTGACAACTCACCTAAAACTAGCGCTGAGGTCAAGAATACGCGGATCTATACATTCACTCCCCCATAAGCCTTCATGGTGTAGTGCTTAATAAGTTACGCACAGGGACAACCTTACAGTTTTTTCTTCCTTTTTATAGCTAAAGGTGACACTGTCCTGGTGCAGAATTAGGCACCACAACAAGAAGGTGTGTGGGAAAGTGCAGATGAAGTTTACACATTCTTAACCTCAGCACTAGACTCGTCAGGTTCATGCCCCAGCTATTTTTCCCCAGTAAACATTCATGCAATACCCAGCAAACAGGAAGATTCATGGGCCCCAGAGCCAGTTTGGATGCTGTCCCCGTTAGGGGCTTAGCACAGTCAATATAGTGACTGAGCTGTCCTGCTTCCTACGTTTCTCCAATCTCCTAATACTTCATTTCTGAAAAAGGGGGGAAAACATAAGCTGACTGTTACATACCGCATCAGTTTCATATGTAGATGCCGCAACACCGAGCATAAACCCTTCAGCCAACGTAAAGAGAAACAAGAAGACGAAGTTCATGGGTGCCTTACGTCGTACATCACCGCAGCAGGCCATTGTGATAAGGCATACAATCATTACTGCAAATGCTCCCCACCAGATGCCCTGGTGTTCTCGTATGTAGTGCTTGGTGGGCTCGTGGTACGTAAACCACGCAATGAATGATACTGTGATCAAAAGCTGCACCATCAGAATTCCATAAACTTTCCTGAAACGACAGCAACAACTACTTCAAGCGCTGCTGCTTGTCGGTACAGAAATTATAGTGCGTGTATTCACATTAAGTACATTTTATTTAATTTATGTACGGTTGTTTACTGTACAGTGCTGCCACTAACTCAGACAATATGGCGTGAAATGATGGGCTTATCAGTAACTAATGAACTGGAAAGAATGTGGAAGGAAGCAGTCGTGCACTAGCATCTGTCTAGAGAGGCTGAAGAAAACTAAGAAAAGTCTTCATCAGGATAGACAAAGTCTGAGACTATGGTTAAGAGGGCAGAATCTTATTCAATCCTCATAACAGCCCAGTCCAGATGGCAGCTCTCCTGAGGTTTTCTCTGCATTCCATGCTGAACATTCGAGACGTGCATGCAACAGATAATTTCAGTACACTGTTACCTTATGAACCCTCGTCGGATGCTCTTGTCAGAGAACTCGAAGTTCTCGACCCTTCCTGTGATAGGATCATCCTGAACATATGATGTGCCATACATGGCTTCCTGGTTTGTGGTGCCGTATGGCTGTCCAGCGCCCAATGGAACCTGTCCGTATGGAGGAGCTGTTGGTGGTGGAGCTACAAACCCTGGAGAGGGCGTGTACGGAGGAAGGTAACTCTGGTTTGGCCCTGTGGGGTAACCTGGCTGTGTAGGATATCCTGGCTGACCTCCGTAGTAACCTCGTTGATCTGAAAGCAACACACAGTGTCTGTTACCTTAACATTTACCATTTTCAATGTGCCTTAGCTGTCATGTGCCATCAACACTGAATGTGGCAGTGGAACAGTTGGTACTTTGCTTCATAATTGGGAAATCCCACGTGACAGCGCTGGTCCTGGGACTGACTAGAGTACATGGTGTAACACAACAGAAGTCTGTAGTCTCATGTAATGTAATGGCCCCACATGACATGACATCTGCTCCAAATTCTGTAAGAATTGCTATGTTCGTGGTCAGATCTCCATGTTAGATGTTCTTTGGGGGGGGGGGACATTTACATTTTAAAGATTTGAAACTAATATGTTTCCACTATTCCAAACCTCAGACACGATTTCTTACATGACAAAGCGAGGGACAAAATCTGAAATTTATATTTTTATACTTCAAACAAAAATTGTTATATACATATAACAATATATATGTATATATATACATATAGTATATACATNATTGTACAGTTGATGGCTAAAACATTTAATTGTTTATGATACTGCAGAAAGCCAGGGCAGACGGTAAAATATCTGTGAGAGTTAAGAAAACAAATTATTAAAATTCCACACATATGAGGCCTTGCACCAGAGAGTATATCTCGATTGAAACCATCGCTGGAGAGGCAAGGCCTCATATGTGCGGAGTTTTGATAATTTAATGTTTTCTTAGCTTTCGCAGATGGTTTGTTCTGTGTTTGGCTTGTATACCCCATCTTGGTGTTGGTACAGGTGTCCGGAGACAGGGACTAGCTCTATCTGTTGGGCTGAATTGAGTGGGTTTTACCTCAAGGAGACAGAATCTAGTCTCCGAAACGCTGTGTTCTGAAGAAAATAAACAGGATGGTTTTCAGATAAAGACATGATGATGGATGATGTCCAGAAACATAATATTTGTACTAATGTGCCATCCTCACAAACCTTTAAATGTCGCTGTTGTTTGTCTAAAACATTTCTGAGGATATATCATTCATTCAGGAAGCAACCTTACTTAAGAAGAGCCATGTGTGTTCAATAAGATCTCCAGCATGGCGACTTTCATTCCCATCAAATGCTGAAAACGGAATTCAACAACTTTCTGATGACAATATAACGATCTGCGTCACTATCTGGTGACACTGCACCCTCAAAGATGTTTCAGGCACATTTTACCTCCGAGTTAAAACGAAGCCATCAGCACCCATGGTATCAGCCCCTATTCATGGACAATAAACATTAATTCCAGATAAATATGTTCATGAGTGGGAAGGACATATAGCATGCATGCAAGTGATTACAAATGCATACAGGATTTAGTAAGAAGGCCTGAAGGGGAAATATCACCGTAAGACTGGCGTGTAGCTGTGAAGATAACACTGGAGTGGATTTCTCAAAAACTGAAAGTGAGAGCGTTGATCTGGATCCATCTCACTCAAGGTAGGATTCAGTGGTGGGTTTACGTGAAGACCTTAAATGAATCTTTGGGTTCTACACATGGAATTCCTTCACACAGTCTTGGACTCCAGTCTGAATATGGCTGCTGAGGTTCACCTGGTGGCAAATATGACTATTACAGTCTTCTCGGATGTGACACCATTCAGTCTAGTATAAATGTGCCAATATTCCAGAGGAATATGCTGCCTCCATCTTCAGGGTAGAACACAGATAGAGACAGCAGGTTCATCTACAACACTGGAAATTATCTACCAGGCTACACGGTGTAACATCGCAGATTGAAGACAATGGTAGGATTCTCTACTCCGAGGTTTACCTCAGGATAAACGTGTAGGGACTGATGTGAATGTAACATGGCAGAATAATCGAGAGAACACGAGGTCTTCTGAAATTCTGTGATGCTACACAATAAATGAAAGCTGCAGAACAGGAAACATTTATACTGAGAGCTACGCAGAAAAAAAATCTAGTCATATCTTGAGAATGTCAATGCATGTCTTTCTATTATTATTATTATTATTATTATTATTATTATTATTATTATTATTATTATTACAATTATTAATCCTACCAACCTGATGAACTGGAATTCACAGTGAAAATTCCATAGGCCGCTACCATAAACAAAAACAGGGAAAGATTATGGACAATTCATGTCAGCCTTGATTATTATGTCAGAAGTTTCATACATTGCATCTTGTTTGTGCGCATATGGCAAAGTTGCGCACAAATGATACAGTGTTAATAATATATTTCAATCATATTTACAATACACGTTCTGGTGTTACAAATAAACACTATCAAGCAGAACAATAACACAAACAAAATTACAGAGATTACAAGTATCTACAGTGGCCGCATATCTAATGTCTGGTGCAAGCTCTGTCACCAAATTTACAGCGTTAAAAAAATATGTAAATGTTTAAATAAACTTACAATAAATAATGAAACAAGAAGCATATTTTTTGGTGTGAAAGTATAGCTGTTGATGTAAAATGTGAAGTTATTGCTGCGCTTAATTAATTATGCACCACACCATAATGATGTGTGAGAGAGTGGGGGTATAGCTCCACCATTTTTGACCTTGGCACTAGATGAAGGTGAGGGGTCAGCTTCATGCCTCAGCCGCTTCACCCCCAGGGAAAGAACCCTAGGTACACAATGGACCCTACAGTTTGTCTGGACTCTGTGGAGTACCGAAAAATCTTCTGCCTCCACTAAGAATTGAACCCTGGCTATCCATCCCATACGCTGATTGAGCTATTCCAGCTTCCATAGTGGATGTAGGGAGGGAAAGATTAAAAATGATTAAAGCAGATTAAATTCTTTAACATCCTCTATATGTAGAAGAGCAAAAAAATATTTTCAAAAATTCAGAACACATGTTTATTAGTTCATTAATTATTTTTTAAACATGTAATATTTGAGGTTTTCACGGCGGTGACTATGAAGAAAGCAGTCTTCTGGGATGTGGCACCGTGTAGATGTGGTGTTAACCGACGTTTCGAAGGAACGTATCGCCTCCATCTTCAGGGTAGAAGGAAAAATAAGAAATCCACAAGCGAAGAGACCGTGAGAACAGGCACAAGCAGAGTGGTGTTGGAAATAAACACAGCTATGTGAGAGTAGTGAAGGAAGGAGGTGGGGGGAAAGTCTACATGGGAAATCAGTGGNGAAACAACCCCCCCTCCCTGTTCATATTTTCGGGATGGAGTTCAATCTCAATGGCCTCCCTAATGATGCAATCCATATAGCGGGTCTTGGTGGCGAGGCTGGAGGTATTCTGAAGCTGAATGCGGTGTCCCAGATCGATGCTGTGTTCAGCTACGGCCGACTTGTCCGGATGTTCGAGACGGATGTGCCGCTGATGCTCCTTCAACCTCATGTCTATGGAATGGCCCATCTGCCCAATATAGACCTTGCTGCACTTGAATGGGCTACTGTATACACCCAGTGTTCTTAGTCCCAGGCTATCTTTGACCGGCCGGAGGAAACTGGATAATTTGTTTGGAGGCAGACCCACTGCTTTGATGTTGTGCCGCAACAGTACTCTGCTGATACGGTTGAAAATAGTACTGACATAGGGAAGGAAGGCGACTGCGCCCGGTTTATCTTCAGGCCGGCTGATGTTGGGCCGACGGTTGAGAACTCTGTGGATCTGCCGGTTGTTGTATCCATTCTTCCTGAATACATCCCCCAGGAGCACCAACTCCGCATGTAGGCTGTCTTGATCACAAAGAGATCTGCCCTGTGCATCAATGTGGAAAGTGCAGCTTGCTTGTTGGAAAGGTGGTGGTGGGATGAAGCGTTAAGGTAGAGGTTTGTATGGGTTGATTTGCGGTACACTCTATGGCCCAGAGAACCGTCGGGTCTCTTGTAAATATCTATATCCAGGATGGGGAGGTGCCCTCAGTTTCAGTCTCCATTCCGAACTGAATGCAATCGTGGATACTGTTTAGGTGGCTGAGGAAGTCCTTATGCTTGTCGGGCCCAGTTGGCCAGATGATGAAGGTGTCGTCCATGTAGAGAAGCCAGCAGTGGGGCTTGTGTGGGGCAAAGTCAAGTGCCACATCCCAGAAGACTGCTTTCTTCATTTTTAAACAGTTTATAAATTCACTATATGAAAGACATTCACAGCTTAAGCTGTAGAACTTAAGACCCCCTCTGCAAATGTTTTCAGCTGTACAATGACTGGTTATGGGCTGGATAATCAGGGTTTGACTCCCATTACATCAAGCCAGATGATGGAGCCCACTCAGCACATCCTATCCGACTGGTACCATGGGTTCTTTCCCCACAAAAGATATGACCATCTGTGCGGGGGAAACAGCTTACAAAGAAATGAACTACTCGCTTGCAGATTTTCTTCTTTTTTTCTTCTACCCTGAAGATTGAGGTGATACATTCCTCCGAAACATCAGTTAACACAACATCTACATGGTGCCATATCCCACAAAACTGCTTTCTTCATGCTCATAAACACTTCATACATAAAAATTAATGCATGTGAACAACTAAGAGAGAACTACACAGTGAAATGGTATGCTCAACAACTTTTATCTTGTGCCACATATACAGAGCCTTCAAATAATCATAACAGTGATTTACAGCATAGGACATGTGCGACATATCACCCATGGGAAAATACCAGATAACGTTTCCTGTAGCTGATAAGAAGTCTATGGACACTCTCTTCTCCACTGATGACTATGGTCTCCTCATTTCAACTTCACACACTTATACCAGCTCTTCCAGGCCTTCCTTTGTTTTGGTATCTTTTTGGTTTATACCACAGAAAGGTGTTCCTTTCATCAGTCATTTTATTGAGATGGTTTATCCAGTTCTGCTTTTATTCATCTATTTTATTTTGTACTAACTGTGTTGCCAGTTCTTTCCTAACATCTTCATTTTATTATGGATCAGTCCAGTTCAGCCTTCAACTTTTCCTATTTTTTTTTTTTTGCTAGTGGGCTGGGACTAAGTCCCTTGTACTATGGCCACTTCTAGCCTATTGTACCAGCCCCAGATGACAGGTGAGGGTGATTGTG